GGGCAGGGCCTGACAACAGTGCGAACTTTGATAAGCAGTTCTCCATAATCACTTCTCAGCAATTATTTGTTATTACAGTTTAACATTATAAAATTAACAAAAATAATATAAAACTCATATTCTGGCGAAATAGCCACATGGCAGCCGAAAACCGTATATTCCCTTCTTGTTCTCTAGCCCGTTCATGCATTCTTTCCAAAAATCAGGACTTTTTTAAAACGCCGCGGGACACGGGACAAATTGTTGAAAAGCGGGACTGCCCCGCCAAAATTGGGAAGTCTAGTCACCCTAGTGTATGGCCACTGTACTGCCTCCATAGTGAGGGCCTATTTCTTCAAAAACAAGAAAACGAAAAGCTGCTTATGGCTCAGTGCCCGTAGCACAGTGGTTACGGCGCCAGCCACAGACACTGAGGCTGGGGGATTCAAACCCTGCCCGAGCCTGCTAAACAGCAATGACAACTGCAACAAAAAATAGCCAGGCACTGTGGCGGGCGCCTGTAGTCCCAGCTACTTGGGAAGCCGAGGCAAGACAATCGCCTAAGCCCAGGAGTTGGAGGTTGCTATGAGCTGTGATGCCATAGCACTCTACAGAGGGCAATAAAGTGAGACTCCGAGGCTGTGTCACCCTCGGTAGAGTGCTGTGATGTCACAGCTCATAGCAACCTCAAACTCAGGCTTAAGTGATTCTCTTGCCTCAGTCTCTCATGCAGCTGGGACTACAGGCACCCACCATAATGCCTGGCTATTTTTTGTTGCACTTGTCATTGTTGTTTAGCTGGCCTGGGCTGCGTTCGACCCTGCCAACCTTGGTGTATGTGACTGGTGCCGTAAGCACAAAAAATGGTTTTTGTTGAGGTAATTTGGAGTTAACTGAAACATCTTTCTTTAACTTTAAGGCTTTAGGGGACCAGATACTATTTGTAAACCGTCCTGATAAGAAGAAAATACTTTTCTTCAATGATAAGAGCTGTCAATTTTCTGTGGATGAAGGTGAGCCTTTCTGTATAAATACTTTAGTTTGCAAGTATATAACAATTTTAGGGTGATGACATTTATACTATTTATAATACTTAAAATTTAATACTTATAATTATTTATGCTTTTTCAGCATTATCATCTCTTAGAACAGAAACTAATGGTGCCTCTATCTAAAATATTGTTTCTCAGAATGAAATTTGTAAAATGTGATTTGAAAAATTTTAGGTTGATTGAACTTAGAATTACAGGACAGCAGTTCATGATTCTTACATTTGTAGTTCAGCCTTGCCAAACAGGGGTTTATTTCTTTGTCTTTATAATTTTACAAATGTAACTTTACATCCTAATAGAAGAGCTTGAAGCAGCATGGTGAAAAGAACAAACTTTAGTTGGTAACTAGTATTCTCTTACCTTATGAATCTTTCACTTATCAAATTGGGTAAGAAAGCAGTCTGAGTCACCTATTAAATGTGTGATACCTGTATTTTGGGTTTTAATTTTAAATATTTGGTCAATATTTGTCATGGGTAGTATTAATTAAAGGGTTAGTGAGAAATTTCTTTCCTTATTTAAGTAGACATTCCTGTTTTAGCAAAGTGGTATTTTACTGTAAATATGTATTGCTTTTGATATTTTATAAGATGGCAAGAATTGAATTGGATGTCAATTATAAAATCTCAAAATAATATTAACTCACAGTAAATATTCTAATACATACTAGTATAGAAATATGGAGAGTAAAATAGTAATATTAGACTCAAAATAGACTGTTGCAGTGGTCTGCCTTGCAGTCATAAATATCTTGACTATACTTTCATAATTTCTGCCATGATCCTAAGATTTTCTTTTATACATGCATGCTGTCTGGGTTATAGGTGTTCAGACTCACGCTAGATGGGGCTTTGTTCAACTGCAGTTGACTTAGGTGACCATGGTTTGTTTTAGGAAATAGACGGTTACATTTTTTTTTTTTT